AGGAGTCAGGGCTGGGAGAGTTGGAAGAGACCTGGCGCCGTGAAGTGGGGAAGGTTTTGCTTTCCCTCTCTGGCTGTGGCTAAAGAACTTTCTACCCTTGGGTACTGCCTTGGAAGCAGTCTGCTGGTAGTGTATGTATTGTTCTACACCATTTTTTAAATTTTATTTTTACTTATTTACTTTTTAAATATATGTTTATTATTTCAGAGAGGAAGGGAGAGGGAGAGAGAGATAGAAACATCAATGATGACAGAATCATTGATCGGCTGCCTCCTGCATGCCCCACACTGGGAATCGAGCCCACACCTGGGCATGTGCCCTGACTGGGAATCTAACCAGCAACCTTTCCAAGCATGGGACGATGCCCGGTCAGCTGAGCCACCCAACCAGGGCCGTGCCATTTTATATAAGGGACTTGAGCAGCCTTGGATGCTGGTATCCATGGGGGGTCTTAGAACCAATCCCCCCAAAGTTTTGGGGGATCACAAGTTGTACGTGGATTTTCTATTGCACGGGGTCAGCACCTCTTACCCCTGTGTTATTCAGAGTTCAGTTATAGTACAGAAACAAAAACAAAAAAAATATGAGCCTGTTCATATGACGTTCAGGGACAGGCAAAGCGAATCAGTGGTGATATGAAGTCAAAATAGGGAAGGATGGTGTTGACTGGGAGGAACACGAGGGAACATTGATTGATCTGGTTGGTAATTACATGGGTGTATACATAGGTCAATATTAATTGAGCTGAACACTTTAGTGCACTTTAACACTTACTTTATGTGTTTTATACCTCAGTTGAAATTTTTTTAAAATCTAAAAATATATAACCCAAATAGAAAATACAGAGCAGTAACAGAGGCAGTGCCCTTTCAGAATCCCTTCATCTCTTTCCAGGGAGGGATACAAGGCGTTCTTCAACACCCTCTACCAAAATAACATCCCCCTCTTCATCTTCTCCGCGGGCATTGGCGACATCCTGGAGGAAATCATCCGGCAGATGAAAGTGTTTCACCCCAACATCCACGTTGTGTCTAACTACATGGATTTTGATGAAGATGTGAGCCAGATCTCCTTTGGGCTGGGAATGGACATGGGGTGGGAACCACCAGCCAGGGCACTTCACCCCGAACAGTAACCCCAGCCTGGGAGGAGAGGGAGCGGAGGGCGTGCTGGCTTCTGTGTCCTCGGGCAGTATTTATCCGTTTATTTATGCCTCTAAAGACCCTTACTTCTGAAGGACCTGCTCTTTGGTGTTTGGCCAACAGCTCTCTGCCCTGGGGTCAGCCAGGCATGTCCCTGTCACGGTCACGCGCCCTCCTGGCTACTCCAGGGCTTGGACTTCAGCTTGTTTTTCTAGGGGCAGAGGTGGGCTGCTCCGATTCACCCTTGTTCTAACTTTTTCCCCTTAAAACCAGTGGCCGGAATCTCCCTGCCTTTGAGCTGTGGTTAGGACGTGGCCCACAGCGAAGGCGTGGCACACACGTGGCCTGAACAGTGCTTGTCTCACAGGCTTCATGCTTCCCCCGGAGTAGGTGACCAGCAATATTCGATGGCTCCTGATGGTTTAAAAGTTTAAACCAGGGATTATAAACGTTAGAGCCTGTGGCTTGATGGGCTTTACGACCTCTGTGGCAACTACTCCGCTCCGCTGTGCGGAAAAACAGCCACAGAAAGATGTAACCAGTGGGCATGGCTGTGTGCCAGTAAAACTTCATTTACGAAAATAGGCCAAGTTTGACCCACAGGCTCTACACTGCCGACTCCTAGCTTAGACTACAATGAGGTTTTGGGGTTTTCTGTGGCTTTCAGGATTCACTGGTCTCTGTGACAGAGGCCGTGGTGAACTGGCGCTGGCCGGGTCCCCGTAGCCCTCCTGTTGGTCTCTCTTCTTGGTCCTTTAGGGTTTCCTACAAGGGTTCAAGGGCCAGCTCATACACACGTACAACAAGAACAGCTCCGTGTGCAAGGACTCCAGTTACTTCCAGCAGCTTCAGGGCAAAACCAACGTCGTCCTGCTGGGGGACACCATGGGGGACCTCACCATGGCCGACGGGGTTCCGGGGGTGGAGAACATTCTGAAGATCGGCTTCCTGAATGACAAGGTGGGTCAGGGCCAGGGTGTCCTCCTGCATGGCCTGCTTCCCCGTCCGTTCCTGTGAACGTGCTTATCCAGCCGAGCGCCTCTGTGCTGCTCACCGCCCTCAGTATTGGAGGGACAGGGGTAAGACACGGGCATGTTCAGGAGAAGATGCCGAACCTCGTAGGGAAACGAGATGGCCAGCGATGAACGAGTTCAGAGGCAGGGTCACGCCAGGCATGTCGCTGGAGCCCCCCCTCACTGAGTGCTCACCACGTGCAGGGACATGAACCCATTCAGTCCTTACAGCAGCCTTTGAGGTAGTGACCGTTAGACCATTTTGCAGTTGAGGAAACAGGCGAGGAGGGGAAGTAACTGGCCCAGGTGACATAGTTGAGGAAGTGGCAGGGCGGATTGCCGTCCTAAATCATACCTGTCAGGCATCATGGAGACGGCAGATGTCCGGGTTTTAGGATGTGGGTTCCCAGTGTAGAGAAGAAAGATACTAGAACAGAGGCCGACGGGAGAAAACAGGACGGTCATCGAGGGCCACAGCGTGGTATTGGATGGAAGGTCACTAGTCCTTACCCTCAGCCAGCACGTGCCTGAGTTCCCCGCATGCTGGAGCCTGTGGAAATCCAATCCACGTAGATTAGAGGTAACGTCTGGCTTTTAAATTTTAATCCTTGTTACTGTCCTCTTGACCCCAGAGTTTATTGCGGCCGCCTGTGCCCATTGCCATCTGTGTCTCCAAAAGGCAGGCCCTGTGACCTTGAACTCCTCTAGGGGATCTGTGGCTTGCACGCACGCCTCCCCCAACTCCAAGTGCCTGAGAGGCAGCGGCAGTGGGCAGAAGGCGGGGCATTTCAGGGACCCTCCGTCTCCCCTCCCCTCCCCGGCAGGTGGAGGAGCAGCGGGAGCGCTACATGGCTTCCTATGACATTGTGCTGGAGAAGGACGAGACGCTGGACGTGGTCAACGGGCTGCTGCAGCACATCCTGCACCAGGGGGACTGGGTGGAGATGCAGGGCTCCTGAGTGCGCAGGCGCGGCCTGTCTGCAGGCGGAGACACGGAGCGAGCCTCCGTGGGGGCTGCTTTGCGGTGAACCTGGTGTGTGCACAGGGCAGCTCAGGACATCCACAAGCTGCTGGGTCCTCGCCCTTCCCTCCCCTTTCCCTGGCACATTCCTGTGAGTCCTCCAAGGCCGGAGGGAGGCCCTGGCAGGTGGGAGGCAGCTAAAGCCACTTCCAGCAGCTTCAGGGCAAAACCAGCCTGAATCGGACCTGCAGGCTGTTTGCATCCAGGATTTGTTTTTTGGTGTTTTTTCACAAATGGGATGCTGTTCTTCAAACAAATCGAATGTGTAAAGTAGATAAAAATAAAAGGATAAACCAGAGCTGTTCTGATTTCGGGGTTGGGGGGTGCAGAGCCTGTACCCTTAGGTCCTGGAGGTGCAGGAGCCTTCCAGAAGCCGCTAGGGCTCCACAGAACACGATTTGGAAACCACTGAGTGAGCCCCGAAGACCCTCTGAGCACAGCCTGAATGTGTCTGTGGGGGTCAGGGTGTGTTTCTGACCGGGAGTGGTTTGACTTTATTCTGACGCAGCTGTTAAACTGGAAATTCAGTTGGGCTTGGCCAACCCTGTGTGCAGAGCCCCTTTAGACGTCCCCACAGGGATCCGTTTGGGTGTCGATTTTTCCTGATGACCTTGATTCCTTCCTTCCTCCTCTTGGGGGTCCAGGGCCACTAAAATGGATGATGTAGTTCTGTTGTCTTGTATTGTTGGGGGTTCTTCCAAGGTTTTTTCCCTTCTCCCCTCCCTGTTGACTTGGTCAAGAACTAGCTGAGCCCGGCCAGCATGGCTCAGTGGCTGAGCATCAACCTGTGAACTGGGAGGTCATGGTTCAAGTCTGGTCAGGCCTGGCTTGCGGCTCGATCCCCAGTAGGGGGGCATGTCGGAGGCAGCCAGTCAGATTCTCTCTCATCATCGATGTTTCTCTCTCTCCCTCTTCCTTCCTCTCTGAAATCAATAAAAATATTTTTTAAAAAGGAACTAATTGAATTCTCTCTGGGGTACCTTTTGAAGAAAATGTAGACCAACCACCTTACCTGGTGTTTCCTCAGCCTGTTCTCGGAGGAATTCGGTCCCTCGCCCTTCCCGTGGGTGCAGGGCTGTTGGAAACACGTTTACCTGTCGATCTGAAGGGGAAAGTGTTGGGACTGTGGGTGAGTCCTGCTGTGGTTCTCTGTGCGCCGTTAGACCTCAGTGACCCAGCAGGTCCAGTTTGCAGGCGGCCAAGGAAGGGCCAGTAACTTGCCCGTTCCCCGTAGTGAGGGGCTAGAGCAGCCGTGGGCAAACTACGGCCCGCGGGCCGGATCCGGCCTGTTTGAAATGAATAAAACTATTGAAAGAAAAGACCGTACCCTTTTATGTAATGATGTTTACTTTGAATTTATATTAGTTCACACAAACACTCCATCCATGCTTTTGTTCCGGCCCTCCGGTCCAGTTTAAGAACCCATTGTGGCCCTCGAGTTAAAAAGTTTGCCCACCCCTGGGCTAGAGCGAGGGTAGGGTGTTCCTGGCCAAAGCTGGGCCTGCATACTGCTGCCCGCACATGGGCCCCGTTAGGTTTGGGGGAGGAGAGGTTCTCGTCTAAGGCTGAGTCTGTAGCCAGGTCAGACCCTGAGGTGCCTCCGGGATGCTCTGGGAGAGGGAGCGGCCGTGGGGAGAGGTCACGTCTCAGGGGATCCTGGGCCAGAAATCTGCTCGTGGGGCAGTTCAGTGACCAGTCCATCATTTTCTCTCCCGAGCACCCCCTCCGGCCCCGTCCTTCATGCTCTGGGTCCTCTCCATTGCAGGGCAGGTGAGGGCAGATGGCCTGGCTGGTGGCTGACGCCAACTCCTCCCCCCAAACCCCGGCGATTTGAACTCAGGTACTTTTCCTGTGACAAGAGGGAGGATGGGGCAGGTGGCAATGGCCTGCAGCCAGGAGCAGGGAGAGGTGGGAACAGCAGTTTTGAAAATGCCCATGTGAGGGCGGGATCCGGCCTATGCGATTTAATCTCTCAGCTTTGTGTGTTGTGTTTGAGGTCGGAGACCTGTCTTTCCATTCACTTGGGACAGTTAAGAGACAGGATCATCTGTCCGCACCTCCCCTGCAGGCCCCTCTGTGGTCACCCACTCCCTGCCCTGCCCCTGGCAGACTGGGGCTCCCTTTCCAGGAGCAGGGCCGAAGGATTGGGTCTCAGGGAGGCAGGCAGCCCTGGAGGGAGGAGACGGAGACGCAGGGACAGCCTTGAGCTCACAGGCATGGAGACGGCTTTGTTCCCCTCAATCCTTGGGTCTGAGAGCCTCCCCCAGTGAAAGACCACCTCCCGAGGCCTCTGGTTTGGTCTTTTATTCGTCACAAAGGAGGAAGATCCGACACCAGCTCAGCTCTGAGTGCAGGGCTCTGCCGCTCCCCTCACCGTCCCCAACGGGCCTTTCCAAGTTCATCTCTGCTCCAAACCAAGGATTTCACTCAGTAGCTCTGAGACCCATCTGAGTAGGTGTCCTCTCCCCGCCTTTTCATTCCGATGTCGTCCTCTGCCCCTCAGCCTTCTTCAGGGATGAAAGGCGGCCCCGCCCAGCCCTGACCTGCAGCTCCCTGAGGGGATCCCAGCAGCAGCGGGGGCGGGCAGGTGCTGGGGACCTGGGTGTGGTAGGGCTGCT